CCTGACTTTAATCTCAGATTTCTGACTTTAATCTCAGAATCCTGACTTTAATCTCAGATTTCTGACTTTTTTTCTCAGAATTCTGACCTTAATCTCAGAATTGTGGATCTTATTGTAGATGGGCACCATGAAGGAAGAGATGTGGGAGCACTGAGCTTCACTGACAAAGATGTGAGTTGTTTGGTAGGGCCAGTGACACATTGGTGGAAAATTACCGAATTAAGCTACTTTTTACGTGCATGAGGGATCCCTGGTGATGCTATTTCATTAATGGAAGAGCAGAAGGCGATTAAAACAAGAGAGCTAGGTTAGTCCCTGAAACAGACATGGTTATGGCTTGATGCTAACATGTTTGTTAGCTGTCAGAATTCAGACAGAATTCTGAGGAAAAAAGTCAGAATTCTGACTATTTTCTCATATTATACTGAAATATAATTAAAAAATCAGTTAACTTTTTCAATTTTTTCAGTGACCCTAATCCTCTTCCATAAGTGTTATGTTGTACAAAAAAATGGATTTCTCACTCTCAGTGTTTATCATTAATTTCTTATAGACGCGCTTTTGTTATTTTTCAATACATTGACATGACATTTTGCCAGCAAAATGTATAATAAGGTCCTGTCCTGGATTCCAATAACACTATTGGCTTGAACACTGGAAGAAATTGAAATATAGATAAGTCATTTTTTTCTTAAAATAAATGCATTTGTTCTTGGATTGAGGAGATAAAAGAAACATTTAAAACATTTAAAAGCTTTTCCAGATAAATAATCTGAACAAGAAAGAACAGATTTATATCCACTTCACATTAAATCTGGTTAAGTTTTCAATTAGTGCACTGATTGCAGGTTTCTTGCCAATTCTCAATGTTTAAAAAACCTGACAGGCCGATTAATTCCAGTTTTGACCGGTACCAATGTTTTCATTCTTATCTTACTGAAATACGTTAATAAATACCCTTAAAAAACAATAACTTCTGAATGAACTTTTCTGGAATATAAATCACAGTTTAGAGCATTGGCAGTGGGTGATTTTCAGACCTTTGCATGGGTGGATAAGATTGTTGGAAAACATCAGCTTTACATCTAAGTATCGGTCGATCACAGACCTCCTGAAATTGAGGAAATCAAGACAGATCAATTGACCGGCAGATACAGTAAATTGATGCATCCTACTTTTTTATGTTTTAGGAAATTTTATTATGACCAGATGATTGGATAAAATTCAGGCAATATCCACCTGTCCTTTCTATTCCACAGCATTGTTTTTACATTTGGGTCGAACACTGAGAATCTCTGATAAGCTTCTCTCTGTTGGAGCTTTGGCTCATTCCTGCTGTCCAAACTGCTGAGGTTTGCTGAGCATCTCTCACATTCTCAGCTCTTTAGATTTTCCAGCCTTCTTGCCACTTTGGAACTATAATTAAGGCCAATTTATGCTTATGACACATAGCCTCTGCAACCGTCAAATCTGTCTCTGTACGCGACCACGCCCCCCGAGCAGAGGCTCTACTGTGATTGGTCCTTGGTATGCCTTTCCGGCTATCTGTGTGGTCGTCCTTCTTGATTCGGTGCCTCGGCGCGCCGTTTTTAAAAACCCGAGGAATAACTACAAAAGACATCCTACATGTCCTCCTTTGTCTTTTTGCAAACTCCATTAACAGAACCTGTTCCTCTTCAATTTCTAGCAACTCTAGATCCATCTCTGTGACCGTGATATCTTGCAGACGCGCCATTGTTGTTTTGGAAGATAAACACTCCCACTGGTGCCGCCGAAGTTCTTGCGAGTTCTCGAATAGGCTCCCCCTTGCGCTTTGGCGGGAAACTGCTGTGTCCAAAGAAATTCCAGACCGACGGTGCAGAAGAATACCTGCAAAACTGGTTCGCTATCAGACCCAAGCGACATTTGATGTGTGCGGTTGCAGAAGTATAATCCGCCCTTTAGGGTCATTGCAGTGTAAGCGGTGCGCTTTTGCTCTGAGAAGGTTGCAAGCATCCGGTTCGATCCCCACAGCCAGGACTCTCTGTTTAATAATAAGACCCTTAACCCCACACTGCTCCCCTGGCGCCCCACAATGGCAGCCCACTGCTTCCCAAGGGGATGGGTTAAATGTAGAGAGTGAATTTCTCCATTGTGAGATCAATAAAGTTTAATTTCTATCCTTTTTCTATATGTGTAGTTCCTACTAAAGTCCATATTTTCATTTGGCTTCTTAAACACTTTAAGCGTTCCTTCCTTAAGATAGCATCTATTCTGTGAAGCATAGAAGACTCTCCTCCTTCAGAACATCCCGTAATATAAAAGTAGAGCAATAATTTCTTCCACCTTTCCTGCCCATGTGGGCACTAGGCTGTTTTCACTGTTCATATAAACACAAGGTGTCCTGCCTTTATTCTGAACCTACCTTCATCCTGAGGAGTATAATAGCTGATTTTATATCTGCTCGTACTTTGATCTAACCATTTGAGCAGTAGACGTGATATTTTCATGCAGATGTGGGCCAAATGTTGGCAATAACCCACTGATATTGTGGCTAAATTCATTTGATTTTTCAGTGATGTCAATATGAGGGAGTAGTTGTTTTTTTTTTAACTGTTCTTCTTTAAAAAAACAAAAACAAAAAAACATTGAGGTAATTTAACTCAGATGAAGGGATTTTAACCAATCGGTAAACAATAGATGGATTCATAGCATCGTCACAATTTTAAAGGCGAGATGGGTTAAGAGAAGGTGGAAATTTTAACACAAAAATTTCTGCATATTTCCATTATTTTTTTTTTTTTTTGGCATTTGGAAAATTGGGATATTTTCGGTTATCCTAGCTCGACTGAAGCACCTTTAGAAAGCAACCCAGACCATCTTTAAGGGTTAAGAAAAGTTTGTTTTTTTTCCACTGAAAGAAATGTTTTTGATGGGATTAGATGGGGATTCAAACCAAACCAGTCAGCTGCCTTTATAGGTCTAATTATCTTCTTGTAGTCACTTGAAAAGATGGTAGAACTTGAATTTCAACTTTAACAGGGTTTGAGAGTTTAGCTGTGATCCATAGTAAAGGGCGTTGGGCAAGACGTTTCTAGATTCTAGCAGAGCCGACTACATCAAGGTGTTCCAGTTGTTACTTTAGTGTGAATCCTCCACTTTTTTATTGGGAAATGGTTGCAGATTAGAGGAAATGGACTCTGCGGTTAGGAGATGCTTAACTTGGGGATTTTAACTTGTTTCAAAGCAAAGTTTCTCATAATTTCTCACTGGCGAGACTCAGGACATGTTTTTGGGGCGTGTAGACGATTACTTTGCTTTGGTTCACACCCTGCAGCTAAATCCCAAATGAACTTTTTTCACATTTACAGGGTGAAAAAAAAAAAAAGTTTTGCATTGGTGATCAATACAAGTGTTATTATTTTAATGTTGATTCTTTAGGCCTATATATATTATCTTTCTTCATTAACAATATTAAAAATGACCCAATAATAACAAACATAACCCAAGCCTAAATCTAAACTGCTGATTGTGCTAATGAATCGGTGTCAGCTAGGGGTGAGTATTGGCATCATTGATATACAATACGCATCAGGATACCTGGGTCCCAATACGTCATTTTATCTATAATATCACTAATATATAGTGATATTTCTATGTCATTAACTATTCCAATATTTTTCCCAGTTATTAAAATTAAATGTTTAGATAAAAAAGCAAATGCTCTAAATGTTCATCAGAAGATATTGATCATTTAATTATTTGGTATCCATGTTGTCAGTCCACGTCTTCCACTGTTATTGCCTCAACTACCGATATTGTGCTGCGGCGCACAGTAAACGGCTCCTCTGCGCTATCTGCCAGTGGCGGTGCAAAGAGATCCCATTTTCCCTCATTGTTTTTAGGTAAAAATGGTTAGTTTTTTAAAAATCGATATTAGGAGCTGAAATATCAATATTATATCGGGTAGCCGAAAATCACTATATATCGCCAAAAATATTTTTTCCCAACCCTCTTGTGTTGACCCATGCAAAGGAAAAGAAACAAAACGCATATCGCCCGACCTGTTTATTTCTACTTGAAACATTCACCCCTGAATGAGCGTGTAGCGACAGTG